CCCCAAAACCCCAAAACCCCAAAACCCCATCTCATCTCATTAAATTAGATTGAAATGATAAAATCTTAAGAATATAATCAAAATAATAATATATTAAAGATAGCCATTTTACTTTAACTCATCATTCATAAATTTCACTTTAACTTGTAAGATCATTTTCATTTTAAGAATTCTGTTCTAGGTATTAATAAAATGTCACAAGGAACTATCTACATTAAAAACTTTAAGTAATTTGAAAAGCTAGAGATGGATTTGGACTCACCAACATTAAGGCAGGCAATGATTAATCTTGGGATTCCCAAAGAAGATCTTTAGAAAAAGTATGTAACAACATTATAAATAGTTTGATATAAATTTCTTGTAGAACGAGAGAAAATTTTGCAGAATCAGGAGCAGATGATAAAGTAGTCGACTTGAGATACAAGCATTACTAAAATAAAATGATATAGATTATTAATCAGTTATATTAAGAACGAAAGAAAGTTAAAGAACAATAAGAACCTTAGATTAATCAAAGACTTATTAATATTGCTAGCATGTCATTGGCTTCACCTTTAAAAGGAAATAGGCATAGTTAGATTCTATCTGCAACCAATCAAGATTCAAGATCTAGGTCAAATAATCTTGCTTTAACAGAAGCATATACGGATCGAGGATCAGTCAAAAGAAGAGGGGGTATACAATAAATTACAGGAGGTTTATTAAGTTTGCAATCTGCACACGGATAATTATCTATGCCTTATCTTAAAACAGAGAGATCAACTTTAATGCATTCTAACATTAGTAATAATAGAAGAGGTAGCATGTTACCAAAAGCTGACTTTTTTAACTAACTTACCACTGAATCAGCTAAAGTGGAAAGAATGAAGGAAAGATAAGAAGAGATTACTCTTAAGAAACTTGAAAAAGAAGCTACTATTAGGAAGCGAAATGAAGATTTGCAGAAGAAATGGGAAAAATTAGAAAAATTCGAAGTTGAGTACAAGCGAGAGATACTCGCAAAGTCTATAGTAATGAGTCAAAAGCGCGAGCAAAAGATAAAGGAAATGAAGCAAATGGAAAGAGAAAAGGAAAGACAGCTATAAAAGGAGTAGGAAAAGCTTATGAGTCATTTGCACGAAAAGGCTATAAATTTCACTCTCCTAGAATTAGAAAGATAAAGAGAAATCAGAAAAAGAGAAGAGGAGATGGATAAAAAGAGACAAGAAACTTAGAGACGTAGAGAAATGCTATAGAAAGAAGAGAACGATAAGTTAGAAGTAAGGATCAAATCATTAGAAACTAAATGTAACTCTAATATATATATATATTTATTTTTGCTAGTTAAAAAGGGAGAGGAATTGTAAAGAATAGCATTAGAAGAAAAGATTCAAAAGGCTCATGAAAAGAATGAATATTTTGATAAGCATGTGACCTAGTTCAAAGTTGAAAAGGAAAAATAGGAATAGGAAAAATATGGATAACTAGGAATGAATCTTATTAAAATGGATCAAAGATTGGTAAGCAATAATTGATTTCTATAATTAGATATAGAAATCATTCTAAGACAAATTGGATATGGATAAGAAGCAAACTTAGAAGAAGACTACAGATTAGATAAGCAAGTTCAAGGACAACTAGAAACAAGAAGAAGAGGTAGAATATTATGAATTTATTTTAAACTAGGATATTCGCATCAAATAGTAACAGATCATTAAAAAAATGAAAATAGCGGAAAGAAATTTGGAATAAACTAAAAAGGAAAAAGATGAGGAGATTCGCTTGAAGTAAGAACTTCGAAGACTTAAGCAAGAAGACCTTAAACAAGCCTCAGATAGATTGAAGAGACAAGAAAACAACAAGAAGTTAAAGATAATTGAAAAGGAAAAAGAACATGAACATTAGCTCTAGCAGATGAAGATTCAGAAAGATCTGCTGCTGATGGCAAAACAGGAGTAGGAAAAGTAACTAAGGGATGAGAAGAGGGCGATGGATGAAGCAATCATAGTTATTATGAATCTTAACTCTAAATCAGCTAAGGAGAAATATCTCAAGGATAACTTTGATCAGAACTTCATTGATAAATTGAAGGCCAAGGTACCATTGATACTTGAGTCTGAATTTAGAGGGAAAAAGAGAGGCAAATCATCTGATATAAATGGAAATGACTAATAAGAATGAATTATTTAACTTTGTTGATACTTTCGATTATTAATACGGACTTGCGCATGGGGTTTTGGGGTTTTGGGGTTTTGGGG